TCAAACCTTCAACTTCAACATCCAAAAGCAACAAACCTTAATTTTGTCGACCAGTGTAATATGCAAGAAATCACTAATTTAAACCAAAAAATGCTTTTCAGTTTAGAATATGTTTTTCTTAAGATAATAATATATTTTTAGTATATATTTTTAACTTTAAGATTAGATTGTAAAATTAATAATATAAATTCTTACTTTAGGAGTATTATATGCTAAATTTCAGTATAAAATACGCATTTTCATTGATTAAACAGAATTTCAAATGTATAATTTAAATACTAATTTTATTTGGTGAATAAAGACACACACATTATGCACAAGCTTTTTGCCGTCACGCGTGCAACTTTCACACCATGCGTGGCATATGCGTCGCATATGAGGACGCATCTGTGTCCTCAAATGAGCGCACGCGTGCGAGCATGCGTCCGTCACTATGCGCGCACTTTGCTATCTGGGTAGTATATATAACAAAGTCTGCTGGACTAAGGATGCTTCCTTGTGGAAGGCCAATAGTGCTTGTTCTGGGTCCAATTACTTAACCATTAATTTTAAAGAATATATTTTTACTCTTAATATAATTATAAATAAATTTCGCAATACTTTCAGGAATTCCTATTGTGCATAGGTCTTCCATGGGAATATTGGGAATTACACTAGGAATAGCCCCTTTAATGTCAAGAATTAATGCGCCTGTAAATTCTTGTTAAGCAAGTCCAGTACAAATTTCCGTGGCAAGCAATGCCAGATTGTCTGCGCAGGATTTTATCACTTTTTATGATGCCAAAGTGATAAAGACAAAGACTGTGATTGCGTTCAATAAGTCAAATTAGACTATTGTAAATTAGTTTCTCTACAGTGAGATAGGTCGGAATTTTCCAGGTGAGGATTTCGGAAGAGAGATAACAAGATAATTGTTCCACGAAAGACAAAAGAAGCCACCAGAGATAATTCTATTATATAAATGGAAATATTGAAAGAAGAACTGGAAAAGTATCTTTAAGGATATGTTGAATAATATTAAAATCAATTTTGTCTATACATGGTGCTGATTTAGTTTTTGAAGATTATTAGTTGCAATTGTTAAAGTAAAAAGGGCTTCTAAGAAGGGTTTATGATTGAAGTTATCTGGAAAATTATCATAACAAACAGTGGAGGGACATGTTTCATCTGCTAAGGAATATTGTTTTTCAATTACTGTTGAGTAACATTCTGCTGAACAAGAGGATGACGTGCTTTTCTCTAAGCAGATAATGCCGTTTTTCTAGATTTAACAGTATCATCACACTTATCATTCCACCAAGATGCCGGGACGTAAGGTTTTGTAGTTGATCCAGAATTTCGAGGTATGGTATGTGAAGGTTTCTTTCGAGGGCAAGCAAGATTAACTGATTTGTCAATGAGCTCTACTAAGTGGTTATAATCAGAGATTGGGTTTTGGGTCTTTAATACGTCAGAGTTTGCTTTCACGGATGAGCAAAGATCTGCAGAAAAGAGAGGCCAATTTATTGTTCTTAGGTTATATTTGTATGAAGTAGAAGATGAAAACGGTATTCTAATGCCTAGAGAAGTAAAGATTGGGAAATGATCGCTTTCCATGGAATCGTTATAAACATTCCATGATGAAACTAAGTATTATAATGTTTGCGGAAACAAGAGTAAGATATAGAGCAGTACCAGGATTGGAGGGACGATTCACGTGTGTAGAAGCACCATTATTTAAAATAATAAGATCAGTTTGATCTAGTGCATCGCACAAGTTATGACCATTGGTGCAATTATGCTACGTGATCTCGCACGGAAAGAAGAGTTATAGTTGGTTGTACTATTACGTGTTTAGTAAGAAAATTTGAGTTGCGATAAATGAATATAAGGTAAAGGTTACAAAACAGCGTTCAATTTTTTTGTTGTCGATCGAACTAAACATAGTAGTAAAGATAAATGTCTGCTTAGTAAAGCAAACAAAACTAATTCTATTTCAGATTTTGTAATCAAATTATTAATTTAGATAAAACATATATTAAAATTTTAAATTAATTAAAAAACTTTTTAAAAAAATCAAACGAAATCTTGATAAAATGTCAGTTTTCAAAACATTTATTAATTTAGTATTTTAACCTTATATCGCCGTCAGTTCTTTTTTGTAAAATATTTCTTGATTTTCATTGCGATCACCATAAAACAAAATTTCTCGGGAAATAATTAATATTTAGTTATTTAATTAATACCATATTTGACAAAATTATTTTTAGCAAGTGTTAACAACTCTCACATTTATTAAAAAAGAGGTTAATTTTTATTTTTGTAAATTGTAAACTGAAACGTGAATATGACAGTTCATATCGTAGACGTTACTTATCAAATTGGTAGTCTTGGTAACTAAACTACTGTTTAGTGAAGCTTACTTTTTGTTTTGTTGAACGAAAATGTCACCATATTGTTTAGTAACTATGACTCAGGGCTGAGTAAGATTAACTACTTTCTTCTCTCCGTGCGTCCTCTAGATCAATTGTAGTAACACTAGTTGCTCGATCCAGACCACATTTTTTTAAAGCTCGTGCCAAGCCTCGGCCGATAGGGGGCGCTCTGGCACTCACACATCTTTACGCCATAACGCTTTCTGTGCGATCCCGACAACACGTGATTAGAAAAGATTAAAGTTTGATTTGCAGTTTACTAACAATATTATAATGAGTCGTCATAAAAGTGATCGAAAATCTCGAAAACGTTCTCGGGAAAAAGAAATCGATGAATTATTAATTATTAATTATTATTATTAATTATTAACTATATATTAATCTTGATATTCCGAAATTCATTCTGTCTGTCAGAGTATGAGAGAGAAAGCATGATAAACAGAAAGAGAGGAAGGTATTGTCTCTCCTTTTAGTTTAGTGTAGGAAGGAAAGAGAGACGAATAGGTAAGATAGTAACGCCTATTTCTTTGGTTCTTTGAACAGAAATTGGTATAGGAAGGAAAAGTGGGGAATTTCACTTTCAAGATAAAATACGAAAAGGGCGTCTTATTTCCTTATTGGCTAATTATTTTTCTTTTCTCATTCATAGATAGATTGAGGAGTGAAAGAGAGGGAGATCCAGAACGAGGTATGAGTAAGAGGTATAAATTTTATCGTTGTTCCATAAACCAAATGGATAATTATTCACCAATTTTTGACCCACTTTCCCCCGGCCTCCAACAATCGTGGACATTAGGCAAACCCCTCCCTTCTTTACACTTGTCCACGTGGACATTTGTAGTACATTTAAAAAATTAGTATGTTTTTAATATTACTCCTGAATGTTAAAAAGTAATAAAGCTTATTTTTAAACAAATTTCAAAGCAAGAAATTACAAAAATGATTAATGATTAAAATAATAAATAAACACTATAATTTAATTAGACACTTTATTTTATTATAATCATTATATTGTTATATTAACACCATAGTCAGAGATACAAAATTTTTGTCAGTAAAGTGAGGGAAATGTCAATAAAAAAAATTTTCAGGGAAAATAAGAAAATTGAGATTTTTATCGACAAAAAAGTCGTAATTGTTTGAAAAGTAAGTTGGAAAAAGTCCCAATTGTCTTAATTTCCCTGAAAAAATTTTTCCTGATATTTCCCTGACTATGGTAATGATACAATATTATAATAATTATAAAAAATAAAGTGTTTAATTAAATTGTAGTGTTTATTTATTATTTTAAAGATTAACCCATTAACGCCTGAAATAGGAAAATTCTTTGCGCAATTTCAACCTATACTTTTATAAATAAAACGGATCATATTTTATACTGTAAGTATGTTTCTTATAGGTATTGAGTGTGCTCTTTTCGATTCCGGTATAAAAAAAGAAATTCATTCAACCCAAAAATTAAATATGGCGGTTTTAATTTCAAAAACACAAAAAAATTTAATTCTTTCAAGTTTGATAAATTTTTTATCCATTAACCCCTTCACAGTGTATGACGTCTATAGATTCAATTCTCATCCACAGGGGCACACAAATTGTATAATTTTAAGAAACGTAAATTAGAATTTAAATTTTCAAGATGGCAGACCAAATATGGCGTTAAATATGAAGGAAACTTTGAAAGGGTTGGTCACTATTTTTAAAAATACCAAAATGTAATTAAATTCGGAGAAATTTTCTTACTGGGAGACTTTTGGGGTCGCTGATTACGAATTCAATAATATTTTTAAGAAATTCAAAATGTCGGATCCAATATGTCAGACAAAATTTTTTAAAATTTATGCAATTGACCTTAATTTTGTTACTTGGGGGTTTTTAGGGTCGCTGATTACGAATACGATGCTTGTTTTCAAAAATTCAAAGTGGCTAATATAATATGGGGCGCTTCTAGGATATTTCCAGCTACCTGACTGGTATTAGAACTCCCGAGTAACAACATTAAGGTCAAGTGCATAAATTTAAAAGAAAATTCCGCCATATTGGATCCGCCATTTAAAATTTATGAAAACTTACATCAAATTTGTAATCAACGACCCTAAAAACCACCGAGTGACAAAATTAATGTCAATTGCATAAAGTAAAAATTTTTGTTCCATATTGGATGGAGGGGGCAAAAATTGGTGAAAAATTGTCCTCGTGGTTTATGGACGGTTCTAATATTTCAGAAGAAAACAGAAACATATTTTAAAGTCTTAGTCACATTTTTATATACACACAATGAAATAAGGTTTTGAGAATAATAAGACAAAAGTGGAAATATCGCGCGCGCTAGCAGAGTTATTTAATAAATTGAAAAAGAGAATGAGAAGGACGCCATCGAAAGAACGCAACAAATCGTCTAGCAAAAGTTCTAGAGACGACAAAAATGGCGGTGAGCGACACCCGAGAGGTTCGTCACACCAAAGTCGTTCACGCTTGCCGTTTTCGGCACTCGCCCCGAGTTAACTCCCGATTAACGGTGATTGGTTAGATCGAACAGAATGTTGTTGATGATTGGATAATTGTTAACTCGGGGTTAACCTTTAGTGAATGCCGAAAACAGTCGCTATCGTTCTTCATCAAGCTCCACAAAGGAAAACGGCGGTGAGCGACACCCGAGAGGTTCGTCACGCCAAAGTCGATGTCGCTATCGTTCCTCAAAAAGTTCTACAAAGGGAAAAAGCAGTGAGCGTCACCCGAGAGGTGCGTCTTAGCCGAGACCGATCTCGTCATCGTTCCACCTCTTTCTCTCTAAACAAAAAATCCGAAAAAAAGGACAGTGAGCGCAATCCGAGAGATGCGTCAAACAAAGATCGTTGTAATAGCGACTATTCACCACATGAGACTAATTACCACGAAAGAGACTATGAGCGTAGCCCGAGAGTCGCGTCGTCAAAGAAAAAACGTTCTCGCCGTCGATCAGAATCCTCTTTATCTTCCACCTCTTCAACAAGTTCTTCGTCTTTCTCACGTCCCTCATCTGTCGACAAAAGGAAAAGGAGAACGCAACCATAGGCGAAACAAAAATTGACGCGGAAATATCGGGACTGGCTAAGGATAACAAAAAAGATCTCATCGAAAAGTATCCCGTGCCTGCAAATTGTAAGACATGTCAAGCGCCAAAGGTAAATCCCAAAATAAAGTCAGCTGCTGGTCAAATGTCCCTGAAAAAGGATTATTACCAAGTTATATGTCAAAACAAATTAAGTGCCGGAATGACAGCTCTAGCACACGGTTTAACCGAGGCATTAATAATTCCAAATTTTTATTACTGGTCTACTACTGGTCGGAACAGAAAATCCTTACTATTACATTACTGATTTTCAGTACTAAGCCCAAGCCAGAGGCGTTACCTCCAGATGTTGGCAGTTGGATACGTAATAGGCCAGTATGAAAGTCAGTACTGGTTGTCATTTTCCCATACTGAACCAGTAATATGCCTACTGTCAATTTCTACCTGGGTAGATTGTTTTAAATCGCATATAAGGCTTTAAATAACTACAATTGATCTAGAGGACAAGATCTACTTGCATAATTTCGATTGAACTTCACTTAAGGTAAGTTCGTTCAATCGATCAATTATAGAAACAGCCCCAAAAAGTGTGATGACTATTAAAGTCACATCCAATCAGAACAGATTTAAAATTTGAATTTTAAACGGAGTCGTAGAAAAGTTTCCAATAATTATCAGGAGTTTGTTTACCAGGGACTCTGTAGACTGAATTAAAAATATTTCTCCTAAAGGAGAGTTTAATGAGACAGCGAGTGTCTCAAGGACATCCTCCTTTAGTGAATATATCTAGATATATTCCATTTTTTTAAACTTGTGTGAAAAGAAAATTTATGTTTTCTTCTTTCCACTTTCCAACGATTTATTATGAACATTTTAGAGAATTCGAAGATAAAGTGATAAATAAAATGTGTGATTTTGAAAAATTTGATACATTTAAAGAAAATTGAAAATCAAAGTCATAGAATGACTTTCTATATTCTATAAATGAATTTCTATATTCATTTCATACTTTGTATCAAATTTTTAAAAACGCACATAATTTAATTATTTTTTATTTTTCAATCCTCTAAAATATCCATGGATATTAAAACATCATAGGTCTAGAAACTAGAAAAGGTACACTACCGGTCAAAATTGAGAGACCACCCATTTTCAGGCGATTGAAAAGCGTTTTAAAACATAAAATGTATTGAAAGTAAAATTATTTTCTTTTTATTTTTTGAAATATGATAAAATTTTGAAAAGAACAAGATCTTTTAGAAGTCATTTTGCCAATATTTTATTTAGATATTTTTAATTTAACTTCTAAAATAATGGAAGCTTTTTAATGATCTTAGGCTTATTTTAAAGGTCATTTGGTATACTATAAGAATTATTTATAGGCATTAACGTATAATTTTTTTCTTAGAAAATGCAGACCGTCAAACATAGACCAAAAAAATTCAAAAAATTTGGTACAATTTTTCTGTACCAAAAACTATTCTAGAAAATATATAAAACATCATATGGTGTAGATTATTTAAAAAAATTTTAATAAAAAAATACGTTTGAATTTTAAAAATTATTTTTCTGTTAATAAGAATGTTTCAAATTTTTTGAATTTTTTTGGTCCTTTAAAATAAGCCTAAAATCATTAAAAAGCGTTCATTATTTTAGAAGTTATTCAAGTTTTTGTAAAACATTGAAAATGACGATTTTTTAAAAATATCTAAATAAATTATTGTCCAAACGATTTCTAAAATATCTTGTTCTTTTCAAAATTTTAACATCTTTCAAAAAATGAACAGAAAAAGATTTTAGTTTCAATAAATTTTATGCTTTAAATCGATTTTCATTCGCCTGAAAATGGGTGGTCTTTCAATTTTGACTGGTAGTGTAAAATTTCTTTTCACATAAGTTGCAAAGAAGTGTAAAGTGGGGGTTCGTTTGAGATATTAGGAATATTAGATTTCAAACAGGAATTTCTTTAAGAAGTTGAGAGAAATTTGGAAAAATATAAAGACTAATTCTATGTTTATTAAATTCTCTTTAAAGTAGTGTGCAAATAGTATATTAAGCAACAAAGGGACAAACGCAACCATTTGTTAACGTTGATTTTTATGATACGAGTGAAGGTCGAGGGCGCCGTAGCCGACCCGAGACTGATACGAATGTTAAAAAACAAACGAGGAACAATAGTGATCCAATATTGGCTGCAAATGCTTGGCAAAGTTGTGATCATCCCAAGACTCTAGCAGTAGTGGCCCAATATTGATTGCTATTATTGCACTATCATTGGTACTGCTGGCTCTTAATATAGGCCCATTAATAAACGAATCTAAATTACGAATCTAAATTACGAATCTAAAGTCAGATTTTCAAAATTTAAAATTGCTCAAATTTGTATACAATTTGTTTTTTGGGGTTTTTTAAGATCGCTGATTACGAATCTGAAGTCAGATTTTCATGTGGAATATATGTGCATCAGCATGTGGAATCAGCCAACTTCAATTAATAAATGTATTAATATTCCCACCGGTTTTCTTAAAAAATAGAAAGTAAATCTTAAGAAAAAACCGCTGCCAAGTTGTATATTTTTTTTATAATTTTGGTGATCATTTCATGAACACTTTACTTCCGCTCATGGAGATAAAAATAATAGAAAAATATGAATAACTTTTTATAAATATGGTAAAAGTGATTGAATTTTGGGTCAATCAATTTATTTTTAAATACCCTACAAGATAGTTACAATAATTTAATAGATAAACAAAAATTTTCAAACAAAAAAGTTGAGAAAATATCATTTTTCACAATTTTTGGTTTTTAAAATACCAATAATTTAGAAATTTATTATCGAATTAAGTTTAAAAATAGGTCAATCGAAGCGTTTTTTAATGCTCTACAAGTTGATAACGATAATTTGAATGTTACTTCTACGTTTTTCAACAAAATTTCCAAAAAAGTCTTATTTTCAAAAATTTTTTATTTTTAAAAGTTTAATAACTCCACTTAATATGGACGAAAAATGTTCAATTAGGGCTCAAAAGATGCGTCTAAAAAAAGTCTACAAAATTATGGAAAAACATTTATAGGTGTCCTAACATTTTTTTAAAGTTATGGGCAAAAAACGTTTTTTTGCAAAATTAAAAATCAAAAAAAAATTTAGTTAAACTTTATTAATATATCAGAAAGTACTCTCACTTTATGTCCGCAGGTGAGATCTACAATTTAAAAAAAGATTCAACCCAAAAGCTCTTCATGATTTTTAGATATTTATGAAAATGTGATGTTTACACACACACGCACACATACGGAATGACATTTTTTAAAAATGTCATTTTTGAACTCCTGAGGTCAAATAACATAAAGATATGTCAAAAAATCGAACTCGAAAAATTTTGGTATTACAATACTTCCTCTATGAGGAAGTAATATAAGAAATATAATATTTTATTTATTCAGACATAGATCTCTAGTCCAATTAATACTAAAATTTGATAAAAAGTTTGATATTTTTCGAGAAAAAAAGAGAATCAAACACAAATTAACATTTAAAAAAATGAATAAATTTATATTTTTCTATTCAAACTTTCATTTTTTTGACAATTTTCAAGAAGAAAAGACAATCGAATACAAATTGTCATTGAACAAAAAAATAAAAAAAAAATAGAAAAAAAAAAAAAAAAATAGAAAAAAAAATAAATAAAAAAATAAATAAAAAAAATAAATAAATAAAATAAAAAATAAAAAATAAATAAAAATATAAAAAATAAATAAAAATAAATAATATAAAAAATAATAAATATAATATAATAAAAAAAAATATAAAAATACAAAAAAAAAATTTAATAATATATATTATATATATATATATTATTATTATTATTATTATTATTTTTTATTTATTATTATTATTATTATTATTTTTTTTTTTTTTATTATTATTATATTATTATTATATATATTTATTTTTTTTAATTTTATTTAATTTTTTATTAAATATAAATATATTTATAATATAATAAATAAATAATATAAATTTATTCATTTTTTTCAATATTAATTTGTATTTGATTGTTTTTTTTCTCAAAAAATATCAAAATTTTTATTAAGTGAAAAATAATATTTTAAAGCTAATTTTCCTGTTACTTGGACTAGAGATCAATGCTTCAATAAATAAAATATTATTTCTCTTATATTTTGTCAAGATTTATTTCATATTTTTTAAGAAAACCAGTGGGAACAATAAAACATGAATTAATTGAAGTTGGCTGATTCCACATGCCCTTAAACAGGTTGTAATATGTTCGAAAAGTTCATCAAAAATTTTACACAGGGCAACTCAAAAATTAAAATTACAACAAAAACTATATTACTATAGGTACAACATCTAAACTAGAGTCAAAAGTTGCGTATTACCTAATAGTATTTATAATCTGAATGGCTGATAAATCGATTTAACAGTTTTTAAATAAAAGTCAAATGGCTTTTTTGCATCTTGGCTTTTTCATCCCGTTCTACTCTAGTAGTACTATGTAATTGCCTATTTTTATATGTATAGTAGTTACGTTGGTGATTAAAAAAGCTATATTATTTGCTTATTGGTTTAAAATCATAAGAGTTTTATTAAATTTTTCTTATTGGCTTAACACTTTCTTTTTTTACGCCTTAACGTAAATATACCTATTTATTGGCTTAGGAGTATCTTTTAAATAAATAATAAATTTTATGTTAATTAATGTCTTTTTTTATTTATTTAGTTACCTTGGGTATAATGTTGATACACACATATAAACATACATCGGGATAGTTTTTAAAACACTATTTTTTAATTTCAGAAGTCAAAAACATCAAAATCACGATTAAAAGTTTTCACTAAAACAAACCTACCAATAAGAAATAAATAAATAAGAGTGAAAAATTATGAAATTAAATTTTTCTGTAGTTATTTTTTCGTTATATAGATAATTGTCCAAATTTTCGAATTATATTCCTGTTTGTTGTTTAATCCAATTACGGAAATAGAGAACGTCAGTGTAAACTCCAGGATATCCTTTCGTTCCACATTCGACACCCCATGAAACTAATCCAAGTTCTACTTTGTCCGCATTAATAAGTGGACCACCAGAATCGCCCTAAAAGTGTTTTTGAATTATTAATTCTTTTTCTTTACATTTAAAATATGTATGTATACATATATTAAATATATATGTATGTGTACGTCCAATTGAAAAGAGCCCATTTTGGTACCATTGGACTTATCTATATGAGAATATAGTTAATTAAATTTTGAACAATTTAAGCGGTCTTAAATAGACTTCTTTAGGTGAAAAATTCGCGAAGTTATAGATAATCATAATTAGAAGAGTCAGAAACCTAATTTAAAGAGAAACGAATTTTAAGTTCAAATCTGTCATTAGTTGCTATGTTAATCTAAAGTGAAAAATAAGATTATAAGTGTTGCCCTAATTATGATAAAGTTATAGTAAACTCATTATTTTTTTTAGAAAATTGCTATTATCTTCAAAAACATAATAAAGCCAACAAAATTGATTTTTCTCATGCGGACGTACATACATATATATATAGGGGAGGGTAGGCTACATTGAACCGGGTATTTTATAAAGTCCAAGAACTAATAAAATTTTTCTAATTTCGATCAGGTTTTTGTATCAAAATTAAGCTGAAGTACTCCTTTAGTTAATACACACGTTACAAATACAAATTATTATGATTAAATAATAAAATTTAATTTTTTTCTAGCCAGTTACACTTTTCTTATTTTGAAGAATGTGTGTCTACATTGAACCACCTTTAATAAAACACTACAATTTACTTCTATAATAATATTTCCACTTACACATTGTAAAAAATCTTATTTTTCACTCAAAAAAATAGAAAATTGTTGTTAAAGAGTTATTATTTGTTAATACAGGAGATTAATATATTTTGATGTCAGGTTAGGTAGGTAAAGTGACAGTTTGAGTTTATTTCGTTCACAATTATGATGAAAGCATGTATTCCAGTATTTTGCTTACTAACTAGTAGAGCAGACAACTTTACAACTCTTAAAATTGAAAATTCTTTGCTTTTTCGGGTGGTTCAATGATGCCGCACTAACTGTATTCACATGACATTCACAACAAACATTGCTTATAATAAATTTATGTAAGAGATAAAATTCTTTATCACATCGGAATATTGAAGTTGGCACCCTAAGCTAAATAAATCACAAGTTTACTTGTGCCCGAAATTTTTGGACATAGTTTGTTTCAGTAAAACTAACTTATATATTAAATAAGAAAAAATTTCACTCAGTCATTTCTCAGAAAATTGAAGTGGTTCACTGTTGACGCTGGTTCAATGTAGCCTACTCTCCCCTACACTGTAAAAAAAGGGAGTTAAATTTTAACTCCTCAGGGGATTCTATAAAAGTCGCACCCATTTGGGAGTTAAAGCAAAGAGCGTTAAAATTTACATAGTAAAAATGAGAATTAACTCCAAAAGGGAGTTAATTTAATAATTAACTTCCTTTTGGAGTTGATTTTTAACTCGAAAAATTTCACTCTCAACTCCAGTGACCGTCAACTTCCTAAATTTTCTACAGTGTAATTATTACAAAATGTTAAAATCACATAAAATTGTGGGCAATTATTTCAACATTTAAATGGATTAAAATAATCTGAAACGCTTTTAATGAAAAAATTAATCCCATAATTGATTAACTCAATCTTATCTGGTGTTAATTTAAGCTGCAGCCCTTTTTAATACCTCCTTTTTCTAGATTTAATTTCTTATCTTAATGTTAAATATATACGCAGTAAAAAGAAAGTCGTATTTTAAGACAGGAAAGCAGTCTTAAATTAAGACGCAACATTTTTAAGGCAGTCAATGCTGAATTTAAGCAATGGATTTTGTATGATTTAACATTAGAGCAGATAGTGCTGAATTTAAGACTGATCTCAAATTAAGATTTACTTTCTACTGTGTAATATAAAAATTAATATAATGTTATAATAATAATCATTATTAGCAACTAATTATTTACTATTATTAAATTATTAAATACAATGAATTTTTCATACTTGGCACTTATCACGAACATTTGCTCCTTTATTGTATCCATAACAAATTTCCCCTTCTTTTAGTTTTATGTTACCTTTTAAATAATGTTTTCTGCATTTTTTCAAGTCTACTTTTGGTACAGAAACTGCACGCAATTTATTAGAACCTGGTCCACCTGGCTGTCAATTATTCAAAATAATTCTAATTAATTTTTACTTATTTTCAATATGTAATAAAATTGTTAAATTAAAATATATTTTTCAATTAGATTTAAAATTTTCATAATTAATAAATTTTCTATAATTAATTCTTACTTTAGTGTGACCCCATCCTGAAATTGTGGCAGGATTTGTTTTTAATGCTAGACCTCGTTGTGGTAATTTAATTGGTTTAATTACGTTATTATAAGTAAATGGTGGATTTACTTTAATTACAGCTATGTCGCCTCCAATTCTTCGTTTATCATTACTTTTAACATAATAAGGATTTCGAATGACCCTTATCACTTTATGTCGTCTTGCAGTTCTTGCTAAATTTTTTATATCAGTAGTACCAGCAAGAACACTTATTTTGTTGTAATCTGTTTTTGGACTGAAACAAATTTTTTTGACTAAAATAATTGTAGTTTCGCAACTAAAGATTCCGTCGAATATTGCAGTCAAGGTAATTTTAACTTTCAGGAAACTTTCGTTGATGTGTGGGATATCAAAAAATATTTTTAAAAATTGATTTGAAAAACTGCAATGTCTAGAAATTAGAGTAATCAAAAAATATACTAAAATTATGAAAAATCTTACTTATCAAAGCAATGTGCTGCCGTAAGTCCCCATTCTTTGCCAATAATTGAAGCACCACAAGTACTTACTAAATTACTACCTCTTATTCCAGCTTGAAGTCGAAGCTGTAAATAAATATTTTTTCATTTTTATCCTAGTATTTTCTTTGCATTTTTTATTTATTAATTTCTATGTTAACGAGGAAAATATTAATCTTACCATATGAGGAAATCTTTTAATTGTAGTTATACTTCCTCCTATTATTCTATTTTGTGCTAATACTGTTTCATATTTTACTGAAATTTATTATTAAACAAAGATGTATTTAATAATTGCATTGTTACAAATATTATATTACAATAAATATAATTTATTTATTTTTAGGATTTTTTAAGTTTTCAATATTTAAGATTTTTAAACGAGCCTATTCATTTAAAAGAAGTCAACAATTTCTTTTAAGCAAATAAGCATATTTTCAAAACAGCATTCTTGTTGAATTAAAGGCAACTGATACCTTCTATATTTACTTAAGTACGAAATAAATACTACTCACTTTAAACCATGAATAATATTTAATAAAAAAATTCTAATATATATTCCAAACTTACAGCTAAGAAAGAAAATTAACAAAATACAATACGTCTTTTGAAAATAATAATTCATTGTTAATGAAACTCAATTAACTTTTGTGTCCAATAACGTTCAATAATTATAACTGGCGCCAAAAATTAAAGGAAAATAGTTTTTATAATAAACTACAGGAACTCATATCGACAAATAATTGTTATTTACGATATATGTATATGCAATTTTCTTTATCATTTATAACGTCATAAGAACATTATACATATAATTATATAATCATTCATATATATATACTTTCTATCATTTTTTATGTACTAAGATGTGTAAACAATAATTATAAAAAAACAAATTTAAACTTTATAATTAAATATTATTTCTTGCTTTATTTTAAAAAATAATAATAATAGTAAACTGTACATTGTTTAAAGCAGATAAAAAGTCGAAAGTTTTCTATTTTTATCAAATATCTAAAAAAAACTTGTTAGGTATGTTAACAAAGCCAAAGTGTAATTGTAAGTCCATTCCTTTTTTATAAACTTAATTTGAATAAGTGAAATTTTCAATGTATTCCAACCCCCAGTAAGCAAAAATTGACGAATTTTGTCGAAACTTCATTGTTTCTTAAACAACAAGAAAATTTGGACTACCAAAATAATTACGAATATACAGTCAGATTTCATAAACCCAAAATGACGGATGCACTTTGGAGGACATAAAATAAAAAATCTGCCCGCTCTTCGGGCGGACACATTCTCGTCCGCGCTTCGCGCGGGGGGCTCGCAAGTTTCAGCGCGCCTCGGGGCGCGCGAATTTTGGTCGTCGCGCTGCGCGCTCCGAAGATTGTTGCGCGCTTCGCGCGCAAATAGCTCGCTTCGCTCGCAGTTGTCCTAGACCGTTGTGCATTATTTGCGTTCTTTATCCTGTTTCCTATATACGTTTCCTGAAACCATTTTTTTTCATAAAGTTACTACGACTTTAAGGATTACATTCTCATCACATATTTTTGTTTGCTGATGATTGCCAGATTAAGTGAACTTAATGCAAATGTTTGTTCTTGCTGTTGGAAAATATGAAATTATTTTTAATCACTAATTATCTTCGCATAAAAATGGTTTACTTAAGAAGCTACAATATTTTAAAAATACAAGTATCAAGTTTTTTGCGTACGTGATTTGAAGTGCTAGTTGCAAATAAGGGGACAAACGCAAGGCTTGGACGGAATACTGCCAGTCGGGTAGCAGTGATAAGCCTTGAGCCGCTTATTGCTACCTGACTGGTATTATCCCTTTCAACAACGCGTTCGTCCCCTTATTGCAGCCAGCCCTTCATTTCTAAATAACAATTATTTGTTTAAACTGTTGCTAAAATTAATAAAATCATAAAATATCTTCATGTTTTTTTGCCCAACTTCAAGAAGAAAACTACTAAGTACAATTTCTATAAGTTTCATTGCAATTAGAGAGGTAGAATATATAAATAATTCAAATTGTTTATAAAATTGTTTTTTTTAGTTATTAATTTTTATTAAGGGCATCCGGGAAAAATTGAGCCCAAAAAGTGTTTTCCCGCGTGTCGTCTCACTCCTAAATAATTAGAGATATTTAGTTCGGATTTATCATGATAATTAGGGGAATTCATGATGATAAAGAATATTCTCGAAATTTGCAAGTAATTTTTGAAATAAATATTGAAAAACGGAATTACAAAAGTTGGATTTTGGGCGAAAGCGAGAGACAATATGGCGGCGAGCACACAGACAAGTGGATCTATGTGTCAGTGGTCAAGGAGGTGGCGCCAATTCTCGGAAGTGGTCGCGAGTTGAACTGAGGGAAATGTATTAACCTCGAATTACTCCACTTTCAATCGTTAATAAAATAATTTCCTCGCAAAATTATTGCAAAAACGGAGAGGGCCGCTCCTCGGAGAGTCTTCCTCTAGCACCCCTCCAAATATGAACCCGAAAGATTTTATCCTCTCAAAATGAGACGTCTATACTGAACCGTTCAAAACCCCCTTTTTCCGTATATTTAAACAATTTTTTTCAATAATTATTTATCAAAATTTCTCTAAAATCCGAGAGGACCGCTGGTCCCAGAGCATTTCTCTATATTTACCAAAAAATCCCGACTCAAAATATTCTTTTCTTTTTAAATGAGATGTCTATCACGAAACCAGTATTATTTCCCGGATGCCCTTAAACTGTTGTAATATTTCGTTAATGCAAAAAACTTTTTTTAATTTCAAAAAACGGTTAAAAGAGTTATTTTGTTTTGTTGTGAACTACAGACATTTATAAAAGATTTAACATTTTAGAAAATCAATAAAAAAAATTTAACACAGTTGAGCTGGTCTGGCCCAAAAACTTAAAAAAAATTAAGTTTCTATGAAAAAATGTTATAGAGAAAAGTTTTTTGTATATTCCTAGTCTAAAAGAATATAAAAGTCCAGGGTTTGGCAAGAAGTTGTCAACAGCAAAGTTGTAGCTGATGCAAAGGCGAGAAAGAAAGTCTCTGGTAGCAAAATCGCATATGCAAAAATGTCGGAGATAATGGAGTCGGAATATTGATTTTTTGTCAAAAAAGCGCACAAAAAATATATAGAGAGAGATTTTTCTGGAAATTACAACTTTTTTGTGTATAAGTATGTTTTTCAAGTATTTTAAGGTGAGAATATGTCAAAATCAATTACCTAACTGACTTTTATTCCTTTCAAAAATTCGATTTTCAGTGTTATTTTGGGATTTTTTAGTTTTTTGACCATTTAAGAGACTATAACTTCGAAAATTGATTTTTTATAAAAAAATGTTATAAAGAAAAGTTGTTTGTATTTTCCTAATCTAAAAGAATATAAAGTTGATAGCTTTGAAATTTGAAAAAATTGAATTTTCAAAATTTTGGAACCAGTGTAGGGGAGAGTAGGCTACATTGAACCAGCGTCAACAGTGAACCACTTCAATTTTCTGAGAAATGACTGAGTGAAACTTTTTCTTATTTAATATATAAGTGAGTTTTACTAAAACAAACTATGTCCAAAAATTTCGGGCACGTAGGTTTATTATTTATAAAGAAAAACTAAAAAAAACTGTTTTTCACGTACAAAACAAAAAATTTTGTGTAAATATAATCAAGTTTTCTTTTGAAATAGGAAGTTTTAAAAATTAGTAAACTTGTGATTTATTTCGCTTAGGGTGTCCACTTCAATATTCCGATGCGATAAAGAATTTTAACTCTTACATAAATTTTTTATAAACAATTTTTTTTGTGAATGTCATGTGAATACAGTGAGTGCGGCATCATTGAACCACCCGAAAAAGCAAAGAATTTTCAATTTTAAGAGTTGTAAAGTTATCTGCTCTACTAATTAGTAAGAAAAATACTTGAAGACATGCTTTCATCACAATTGTGAACGAGATAAACTCAAACTGTCACTTTACCTACCTAACCTTGTTATGATTGGTTATTTTCCAAGTTTTAATCTTTGACAAAATTTTGCAATTCATTGCAAAATTAAACAAATATTAATAAACTTTGAAATTTCCTTTAAAGTGTAATTTTTTACACTCACTTCTTGTGTGTGAGGAAATAATAAATTTTGTTTTTTTATCTCACGTAATATAATTTAATGTATATTATGGTTCTGTCTAATATATTTTTACAATATATTAGATAGAATACCGAATATAACATTAAAGAATATTATAAAAGTAAATTCATTCATTTTTTTAGCTTTAAGTTGGATTTTTGTACCGGAGGTACGGTACAAAGTTGACGGTAAAGGCAAACTGGCATGGTGCGTCGCCTTTACGAGAGAGTCGGAAGACACGTCTGACTCGCCCTGTGTCTCCCGCTCGACTAACTCTCGCTCTCGAAACCTCAACCGTACCGCGCTTGCGCGGAACGGGTGGGGGCAACTCACGCGCTGATTGGCTCTTGCCAAGGTGGAAGGGATGTCGCGGATGCGACTCAGCAGAGGAGCATAAATACCGCGCATTTTCCCTGATTCACTCTCTTACCTCGCCTGACTTCGACGAAGCAACACGTCTCTCACCCGAGAGACACGGACACCTGCGCTGGCGTCGCTGACGCCGCGCTCTCGCCTGCCAATTGTCACTCTACCGAGTGACGCTAACAGCCGCTGCCACGCCGCCTGCCAAACCGTCAACTGCCTGCCGTCCTCCTCAGGGAAAATATTTGGAATAAATATTTTCATTTAGAAACCACGACGTCTCTTGTCTGTTCCGCTGGCCGCGGAACCTCACCATATTTACCAACCTGTTCTTTTCAGGACAAACAACGCAAACAAATTTCACATTGACAATTAGTCCTTTTAAGGATAAATTGTCAATTATTTTACGAAAGAGTATTTTTGGTTCAAAACATAAATCAAGACGTTCCTGTCGCCACGCCGAAGTCTCACGGACCGAAGGAGGGGAGGACAACAACCGCCACCCGGATAATCCTCCAAGGACGCCCAGCTTACCGGCTCACGTGCACTTCTGAGTCTGACCCAGTTTCCCTCAGGTGAGTGCCCGCCGCCGCTCTCGCAGACAACGCCGTGCACTGACTCCTGTAGAAGGTGCTGGTAAGGACGACCTAAGGCCCATAACCGGGACCTTCCGAGTCCGACCCAGTTTCCCTCAGGTGAGTGCACGCCGCCGCCACTTCAACTACTGCCGCTAAGGTCATCGAGTTTTACCCCCCTCCTTTCGTAATTCTCCATTCAATTTTTTTCCACGATATTAATTTCACTGTCGAATTAATATTTTGTTTTAAATCTTTCTCTCGCACCTTTGAGCCAGTCACTACCTACCACACAGTGACCGGTATCAACCTGACATCAAAATATATTAATCTCCTATATTAACAAATAATAACTCTTTAACACCAATTTTCTATTTTTTTGAGTGAAAAATAAGATTTTTTACAATGTGTAAGTGGAAATATTATTTTTGAAGTAAATTGTAGTGTTTTATTAGAGGTGGTTCAATGTAGACACACATCCTTCAAAATAAGAAAAGTGTGACTTGTTAGAAAAAAATTAAATTTAATTATTTAATCATAATAATTTGTGTTTGTAGCGTGTGTATTAACTAAAGGAGTACTTCAGCTTACAAAAACCTGATCGACCCGTGTGGAA